GTGGATTACGTTAAGGTGTAAGGTTTGGAGGAAAACGCCCCCCCTTCTTTCCACCACTTTCTTTTTGGGAAAATTACGCCCAAGGGATTTATTTAGGGAGATGGGGAACCCACCAGGGGTTGGTTGTTCGTTCTTCGGGAGTGGGCGTACTTGTTCCTTGGAAGACGGGGGGCGATAGGGTTCCGGGATTTCTTAAGTCCCCACCAAAAGAGAGATGCCCGGATCCCTCCACCCTTGGGGAAGGGCCCATGGAACCCAAACGCGCCCTTTGGGGGGACTGTTTGGGGGAAACAACCGCGTTTCAACTTTCAAAAAAAAATACCCCCCCGGGGGGGGGGGGGGGGTGGGGGGGGCGTGGCTCACGTGGTTGGGTGAAGCGTACCTCATCTGTTGTTGTTCTCTTGTTGTTCAAATCGGTTATATGGCGCGTTCGTTGTCGCGAGGAGGTTGGCTCTTGGATGCATTGTCGCGCAGGTTTTCGTTGGATTGTAAGTGTTTTGAGGGGGCGGGCGGGGCGGCGACGACTCTTAACACGGGCCGTCTCGGTAGGCGATCCCCTACCAGCTTTTTCTCGGATGTGTCCCCGAAGGATTTGGATAACAATTATTGCGACAACGCTCAGCAGTTCTTTTGTAGAGATGGCTAAGGCAAATGTCTTGAGGTGTTGGATTTTGTCGCATCTCGGCTATGCGCGTGAGGCTCGATGGTGACATGTGTCGGAAGAATAAGAATCGCTTTGCGTCTCGCTGCGCCTCTTTCAATTTACCTCTTTTGCGTGCCTTTTGCGCTCGTTGCGCGCGTGTGTGTGAACGGCCGGTGTGTCACCCCCAGAGAGATGTCTTGACAAGTGCTACGGGGCGTTCTGCTGTGATTTCTGCCGCCTTTGCAATGTGGCCAACGATGATGCCTGCTGGAGATTTTTTTTGTTGGGTCATAAAACTCTCGTTGATGGTTCTCGTGCGCGCACCCGATGACAACACACCACTCTTTGAGTGAGTTGTTGCCGGGATCAAGGCGGCTGAAGCAGCACCACGACCACGTGCCTCTCTCTGACACGAAGGCATTTACCCTTGCACAAGTTTTTGCTCGAAAGAGCCTCGCCTCGTGGGTGGCACACTTTTGTCACTCGAGTCAAGGTGTTGTATCGCACCAGCTACACATTATGTGCACCATGCACACAAACAAACACGTCGTTCCACCAACCACAGCAAATAAGCACCCAAGAACACAACCCACGGCAAGGAGATGGCTTACAGAAGCACGCCTCCAATGCGTCACCACGGGCAAAGCTACAAATACAAACCAGGGCAACAGCACAGACACAACATCGTTTCGAAGGCTACCCCATCAGTACGTCCTCAGGAACAGAGAAAAATCACATTTTTTCGCTGAACTCGTCCTGTGCACGCGTGTAAAACGCTTCCACCGCTGGAACTCCCGGGAACCAACGGCGAGTGCTTACTGTCTTGGCGTCGACAGCGTGTGACCGACGATGATGACTAGAACTACAGCAGCGCCCGTGATTTTTGACGGCCAGCCAAGTACGGGGAGTTCTTCAAGGGCCTCGCCCCCCCCCCCCCCACCCCCCCAGCCCCCCCCCCCCCCCCCCCCCGTGTCTACTTCCGAATCGGAACCGTATTATTTCGTTCCCGATCCTGGTTGAACAGCGTGCTTTGTGCCGCCGAGGGAGGGCTGAAAGGGGCCCACGCGGAGGAATGGGTGTCGCTTGGCGCGCTTGGGGCGATTTCGTTAGCTTTAGAGGTGAGAGAGAGGGAGGGAGAGGCACGAACAAAACCTGATTTTTTTTTTGTTCTCGTGGAATGGCTGGGGGCGTTGATGTCTTCGTGTGGTCATAACGCACGGTCGTGTAGTTTGCCTCTGGAGTTGTGAGATACCACAAGGGCGACAACAACTACAACAACAATGTTGTCACAGATGACGCCTTGTGGTTTTCTTGGAGCGCACCGTAGGGCGACCAAAAGGTTAGTCAGAAGAAAAAGGAATGCCCGTGGCGTACTCGGAGGTATCATAGCATAAGGGGAGCGTGTACTCATAGTCATGCATGCCGTAGTCGTTGGACCATTGACCTCGCATCCCTACAAGGCCGGGATGGAGCACGCCGGGTTCTCACCGGACCAGGCTCTCACATCACCAAGCGCGAAGCGCCCGTGAGGTATTCGGCGAGTCGCATGAAGGGTGCGCTGCATCCTGCTAAGGGTGTTCGGCATCTTGTGCTTACTTCCTTGCGTACGGATGACAGCTGCGTTATGACTTAGTTTATTTTCTGGTACTTTCACTCCCAGCGACAGTTATAAGCACTGTGTAACTACCCTCAAGGGTGCTTGACCAATATGACACAACGTACCATAACATAGGGGAGCGAAAAAAACAAAAAATCATACTTCTAATAACCTGGGGCTGTGATCAACGTCTTCGGGCTTCACCAGTGGGATATTAAGGGATGGACGGGGGGCGGGGGCGGTTTCTCGTAGAGGAGACTTCTGTTCGGATGTATTGTATGCTTCAGTAAAGCTCTTTGCAAGAGACTTTTGACGGCGAGGGACTCTTGTTGTTTCTTCATTATCCTGCTGTAGATGGCGGGCAACGATGACTCTCAAGTTGACGTTTGCCATGAAACGCGAGGCTTATTTCCTTCCACTCGTCTTGTCCCGCCTCGCTACACTAGTTCAATGCTGCGATACCGGACTATTTCACGGACTTCCCGATGGTGATGTTCATGATCTCGGGCGTGCTTCTTTCCGAGGCTGGCCATGCCGTCTCTCTCGACGACCGGGCAAGAGTGGCGGAGACAAGGTGACTTGCGTGACGTGTGGAGGGGGGCTCCGTAGTGTGAGGGGTTCCGCAGTGTTGGAAGAGACAAGATGACTTGCGTGACTTGTGGAGGGGGGCTCCGCAGTGCAAGGGGTTCCGAGTGTTGGAAGAGACGGGGTGACTTGCGCGAAGTGCGTGAGGGGCTCCGTAGTCTTGACAGCAAGTGGCGGAGGAGGGTGACTTGCGTGACGACAAGTGGCGTGTGTAAGGGGTGCGCAGTCTTGAGAGACAAGGTGACTTGCGTGACGTCGGGGGGGGGGAGGTCATCAGTGTAAGGGCCTCCGTAGTCTCGAAGATTCGTGGCCACGAGGTGCTGATATTTTGCGGTGGTGTGCCCTCTCGGCTTCGCTGTCGCTGTTGCCGTCGCTGTTTCTCTTGCACGCGGAGGGCTATACGATCGCTCCCGAGGTACTATACTCTCCTATTGACTGTCCGTGTTCCTGGCATGGACGCGTATGTTCACTCGCTACATATATTTTTCCCTATGGAATCGGCCGTCGATGCAAATTACCGCGGCTGGCCGCAAGGCTGCTATTTTGCAATTGACGCTGCGGCGGTTTGATGTTACAATACAGTCCCGATGCTGGTCGTTGCCAGCGTTCGGTTGAAACACGCGTCTCTTTTTTTCAATCGCGATAATCACAGCAAATTGTTTTGGTGGCCCTTCCGCTCACGTGTCAAGATTGCCGCAAGCTGGTCGCATGACAGTATTTAGTGACGTCACGTATCCGCCATACGATGCCCCTGTTGGCGCTAAAACTGTCGTGTCCATCCTCACGTGCCTGGATTTTGCTCATGCCCTATTTCCGTCCTGCACCGTTGCTGCTGTACGCACGTTGCTCATGCTTTGTCCCGTCTGCTGTTGTACGCGCGCGCGCAGCCTGGGTCTGTGGGTGGAGCGAAGGAGATGGGTGGCCCCATACGCGGGGAGCCTCGGGTCCCTGTTTGAGGGGCCCCTAAGGGGGGAAGCGCTCATGCGAGCGCCGCTGGAGCTGAGGAACCAGGCTGTCAAGCAAGCGGAAGGTGTGATATGTTGTGGTGCTTCCGGAAAAGAGATGGGTGGGGAGGTGGTGTTCCAGCCTGTTGCTGCTGCTGCTGCCTCTTGTCTGCTGCTTTTGCTGCCGCTGCTACTGTTTATAGGAAGAGTCATTTTACATGCAGGTGCTGCTGTTGCTGCTGCTGCCTGTCTACTGCTGCTGCTGTTTCTAGGAAGAGGTGTTCCACGTGCTTGTGAGTTGGCCAAGTCGCTCTCTCCGGCAGCTGACTGTTTCCCTCCGTTGAACGCGAATCAACCCCCCCCCCCCC